AGGATTTCCAATAATGCAATTCAGATTCCTCTGCAGAATAAAGATACACGTGTGCATGTGTTTACAGGATTGGGCCTGGTCTGCCACAGAGTTGAACACGAGTAATTTTACACTGAGAAGCAGTTCCGCATAAGTCAACTGCACTTCTGTGTAAGTGTTCATGTAAATCAAGTCAGGCATGTGCTTAAATGTTTGCCTTGCCTAAAAGATAAGAGGAATTTTCCTGCTTGAGCAAACAAACCAAAAAGAAAAGAAAAACACCCACTAAGCATTTGATTTTATATCATAATGGAGGGATGAGCACCAGATTGTCACTTGAAGACTGACAATTCTCTTTGGATGAGTTCTTGTTTTCCCTTGCTGTTGAATCTCCCTTGCTGAATTACCTGCTGGACTTCTATTTAAAGTACTCCTGTCCCATTCCCACTGCTGAAGTCAGCCCAATTCACATTTAGATTCAGGCCAGCAGAGGTTTTGAGAGTAGAATCCAATTTCTCGGCTGAAAAGCAGAAGCTTCCTTTGCAGAGCTTGCGACTTGAAGTGCGTCACAAAGCAAACAGCAGCTCAAAGTGTTAAATGAAAGAAGGGAAGGAGTTTTGAATCAGTGTCTCCAACTCCATATAACCAATTATGAAATTCATCCTTGACTTCCTGGCCCCAGATTATTTCAGCTGTTAAATCACGTATAACTGTTTTTTTCACTTTCATCTAGAATTTTCAAGAGCATTCTTAAATTAGACTCAGTTGAGGACTATGCTGTTCCAATTAGCATGTATAGGCCACATGATTCATCCAACAGGGACCCAAGCAGGCTGTTTTTCTTTTAGTCCCTGAAAAATTGCCTGACATTATGAAGGCTAAAGTGAGAGAACATTAGAGAGCAGAGGTCAGAAGACTGCTGAAACTCAGAGTTCAGATCATATCCACCAAGAAATGATGAGCTGCAGTATTCAGAGAGCTCCTTCTCTCCCTTCAGTGAAATAAAAGGGACATTTGGCATCAGATTTTCCAAAGAGCCTAGCTCCCATTCAGGCATCAAAATAAGAGCTTGCAATATTGAATTCATGGTAGGTACAGTACCCCGGCTGCGAATGACCCCATGGAGACCTGAGTGAGAAATGGGCTCCTCTGGAAACGTTCCTGGAATTATGTACTTGAAAAGCTATCTCTGCCGTATGTCATGCAAACATCCCCTCCACCCCCTTTCTGTCTTATGCACCCGTGCTGCCCTCAGTGCCTGTGCCCCCCCACTGCATTGTACATGTGATCCCAGGTTCACCATCAGCTCCCTGCTCATAACTTGGCAATGAGTTCAGATCATTTCAAGTACCAGAGATTGGAACGTCTATTTTTTCCTGATACTTGCTGGGTGATTCAGGCTTGTCCCGTGATTCAAAAGGGAGACTTTTTATCAATTGAAATGACAGAAGTCCTATTTTTCCTAGCCGACCTGAGAGCCAGATAACACCATGCACAGAAAAACAGGGGGAAGAAATTTCTGGTACAGTTTTGAAAAAGATCCTCCAATGGAAAATTTTCCTATGATTCCAACTAAGGGAAGTTTGGGGTTTGTTCTCCTCCAGAAAAGTAAATTTTAGAGTCAGAAGGATCTGCAAAGCTCAAAACTATTTATGTTAGAGTGCAAAATGATATGTGAGAAATGCAGTCCTAGCCTTTGTTATGTATGATCTATTCACCAAATGCTTAAAACAGAAAATCATTGATGCAACCTCTCCTTGGTTCTCATTTAAGTGACTTAAAATATGTAAACCTTTGTATGGTTGCACTGATACCTATAAAGTTGATTTTAATAATTGTTTTATTTTTTTACATGGAAATATAAATGGGAAGAATATCTCATACCCCTGGCGCATTCTGTAGAAAGCAGATGTTCCTATTAATGCTAAAATTGGGTAGAAAACTCAAAGCTGATTTTTTTTTTACCCAATTAAATTGCAACTTGCTGAAGGATTCTAATGAATCATTTCCTTTTGTGATTAGTAGAATCCAAAGGGACAAAAGAATAGCTTTGTATCACAGTCTCTCTCAATTAAATATAAAGTACATCTGGACAGAGTCTGAAGATCCATCTTCCACTGGCAGTGCAAAGCCATTGACATAATAAAATAATACTCTGATTGGAATTACAGATAGGATGTAAATCATTGACATTCATGCTCTGAATCCTTTGCAGCTAAAGCAAGTCCTCCATCAGAAAAAAAGCTTAATTTTATACTGTGATTTGTATAATATATGCAATGGAAACAAAAAAGGCAGCATTTCACAGAGAAAGAACAACACTAATAGAGGCTACAATGAATGCTTGGGCAGCATTTTCAGTTACATATAAACCAGGGGTGTCAAGTTCATTCTGTAAAGAGGGCTGAATTCCAGTTTTAATTATGGTTAGGGGGTTGGGAATTGCAGGCTATTTACTACCAACAATAGAAGAAGTTGTTGATGGGAATTTGCATGAAGATTCAGGGTAGAATATGACCTTTGTGTAGTAAAACATGATACTGAATCCTACAATAAGGTGCAAAGCATACTAGTTATTTACAATACCTGTCCTTGTGTGACTTTTGCAGCAATCCTTGAAATCACACTTGAGCACAACTAGCAAAACTCATTTGCAGAAGATCAGGGTAAAAAAATTGCCATCACTAGTTTTATCAAAAATTTCCTTTGGCCCCTTGAGCATCCCCACTCTTCCCCCACCCCCTCCCAAGTTTGAATTTTGTCTGTGAGCCTGAAACAAGTGAGAATTATGTCATATCAGGTTTTGCAAAGGAAGCTTTACACAACTTCATGGGGATCCTATCTTCTTACATCAGCACCAGACTGGAGCTGGGACTTTTAGGGCTTGTCTATAATGCTTACCTGCGTGCTTGGGAGATACAAGAAACAAGCCCTACACGCTTGTTTCTGCTGCATGTCCTCCTACACCTGGCATTTATGTTCAGATATTCACCAGATGAGGAGCCCTTAGTACCTCAAATTTAAGTGCAAAGAAGAAAGACTACCAGGGTGTCCTCCCTGAAAGCAGCATCATGCCCTGGCTAAGACATTTAACCGGCCA